TAGGCAGTACCTGAAAGCATTTCAGCTTTGTTAAGATACATAGATTTTATCATCATGGTTTCTTTACCTAGGATCCTGTAAATTTATTATCTGGCGAATCTCAACAAGAAGATCTTCCCATATTCACTTCATCAATTCTTGTTAAATTCAGACCTAGTTTCACATTATATTGCTTTTCAACCAGCAGTGGTTTGTAGCAATTCAACCGACGTAACTTGCACCAAACATCTTACATCATTACATGAAGTTCCTGTGATGAATAAAGCACTTATAGATAAGTATTTAGAGGAAAACTGACAGATCAAAAGACACGTTTCAGTGGAAATTGAAGACAAACATTAAAAGAACGAACGAATCTGTATAATAGCTGGAAAGAAGAGCTTGGGAGGAAGTTGGTTGGATAGTCTTAGTCAGAGACCCATGCCCCAGGAGAGAAAAGCCAAACTAAACAAGTATGTGATTGATATGTTCATCTACTGGATATATGCATATGACAAGTTGAGCAATATAGAACGGAGTGCTAACAAAATATGAAGATACAGAATAGTTAGGAATGAACATGTTCTACTAAGCCGCAATAGAGTTAAGCGTCCATTAGCCAATTGATGATTTCGCACTCACTTATCATAGAGCTTTCATATGTAAGAAAATGTCATCGGAGCCCTAAAATGATAACTGCATTATGAATGACATTCATAAGTGAACTGCAATCGATGATAATTATGAAAATGCTATTGTTGGTATTTTGAAAAGATGCATCCACTTGCCATTGAATATGTATTAGTAGGATGACCAGAGGAACAAAAAGTGACGGTGTAGACGAGATACTTTAGCGGCTCGAGACTTGACTCCAGAGCAAAGCGAATTGGAGAAGGCTAGTGAGCCAACTCTCCTGGGCAGTGTTCATTTTTCTTATTGAAGGAACCTTGCTAAAGCATGAAACAAAATACCAAGGCATACCACTGTATACGACGGACAAATGAAACTGATTTGAATGTGACGAACATGAGTATCTTTTTGATAAATTAGCCTCAAACTCCACGTTTTGTTGTACAGCTTGCTGGAAACAGATATTAATTGCAGTAATTGTGAGATGTTTAAGGGCAATGATGTGATGAGGCATGACTAAGTATTTATGGTCATAGAAGGTAGACTAGACAGGTAATAAGCGAAACACACAATGCCTACACTCACTAAAAATAAAAACAACCAATAAATAAGCGAATAATCTCAAAGGCATAAAGAAATGCGAATAACTTGGGACGAATGAAAAATTGATTTGTCCAAAGGCTGGGAAAATCCACGTTAGCTCAACTATTAGGACATGATACATGAGCTAATATCCTTTCACACCAGTCTACCTAATGATAACCAAGAAGTAACTGGACTTTAAGAAGCACTGGATAACCGAGAAACAGTATTTTAAGAAACTACTAATCGTTTCTTCAAGATACTCACTAACTCAACTCAGTCAGGATTGCTCTCAGCAATACATTGCAAGCTTAACAAGATCTACTAGAAGAAGTGGAAGATACCATCAAGGACAACTGGAACTGGATTAACGAAGCAATGAGTTCAACAGATCCAGAGGTGTTGGGCCAGAAGTATTGCCATCATAATGAACGGATCTCTAATAATACCATGGACAAGATTCAAGAAAGGAAAAACATGATGACAGAAATCAGTAACAGCCGAACAAGACCACATGAAGCTAAAAGGATAGGCCGTAGACTCCAAAGCAAACATGAGAGTGAAGATGATCACTTAGGTCTATAGGCGGAAATATTTGGAAGAACTAGCAATAAAGGACGAAAAATCTTCAAGAGAATAGAACTCGAGTCATTTATCTGATACAAAGACGAGACTAGATGGAAAATATAGTAAATAGGAGTGACCATTCAAGAACAAAGGAGGCAAATAAATCAATAAGATAAAGTAATATGTACGTAGAGAAATTTGAAGGGCTCTTGAGTAAACCCAAAGTAATGAACCCACCGACTGTCGAAGCAGAATCTAAAAACCTCTTTGTAGATGCTACCCCACCAACAAGAGAAATCATTGAAGCCAATTAACAGATAAAGTTATAAAGTGGCTGAACAAAAGGCACAACATCTGAGTCACCGAAGTCTGACAGAAAAAACTGCAAAGGTGCTCCACGTTCCTTTAGACGGAACAATAAAAACCAGCAATCCAAACTTGTTTCCCTTCCAAATCGAGATCGTTCGGGACGGTAGGTCCTCAGAACTCACTCGGGAAAGGTCCTAATTTTGTAATTTATTTCTGAAATTTTGAATGTCTATGTTTTCGCGCCAAGAGATGCTTAGTTGACCCACAGATTACATTTCCTACTCGGAAATCCCTGACTGTCATTGGGTGATGGATTACTTTAGTAGGACACTTTGTGGCTCTCCCAAAGGCGTTTCTATGACTGTATAAATAAGATTGATTGGTGTGCTTAGCGACCTCTTATTTTTTGAGTGCTTGTAGAATAAATTCTCTACACCTTATCAAGACTTCTAGATCTAGTTAGCGGGACGTGTTACAGTCGGATTAGTATAGCCTGTCGCGTCACTGTATCGTTGACCTTTCTTTCCGTTTACCGAGTAAGGTGAACTCGTAATAGCATTCAACATATCAACTAGCTAGCATACATACATCTTGGATATGAAGCTAATGACCATAACAATCCCAATTACTTTCATTGGGCACACAATTCTCTCCCTACTCCTTCGACTTCTGTGATTCCTCAAGTGTTTAACTAGCAATCATATGTGCTTGAAACTGTCATGGACAATTAACCGGAGATAGCTGCTGCAGTAACGGAAATGTGTCTGAACTCGCATCACCTTCTACGTTATGCACGTGTAATTGGAACTGTCATGAAAAATGTACGTTTAGAACCGTCGTCTCTTCAGATGTAACTAAAATTAAACAGGCTACAACTAGATATTCTTTTATCAAATGTTCACTAAAAATGTATACAAATGAACAAATAGATTTCTGTGTTCAACAAAAGCTTATTCTACTCTAGAAATTATCCGTCAATGATCAAAGCGTCAAATATGACGTTTCATAGTAATAGAGAAGACGAGTTATCACTGATGAAGCACAAATGGTCAATCCTATTCCAACCAAATGCTCACCTTTGTGAGTGATAACAGAATTACCTTTAATAAAAATCAAATTTTTAGACTAATAAATTGAATAAAAAGAGTTTACTTTTTAAGGAACTATATTGTTGAGGATGTTAGATCCCCAGAACTCTCTTGATAAATGTCTTAATTTTGGATTTTATTCACGGGCTGATCTCTTGACCTTGAGATCACATCTCCCACCAGGAAAACCTATGGCTGTGATTGGTTGCTGTGTTCTTTTAGTGTGCTATTTTTGTGACTCTCCCAAGGACGTCTCTATGATGTATAAACAAACGCGATTTGTATGCTTGAGATCATTGTTTGCTGGGTGTTTGCAGAATACACGTTCTACGCTATATCAAGACTTTTTTGTTAGTTCCTTTGGGTCAACGGATTAGAGTCGCCCACCATGTCACTGGTTCACTGTCTCTTTCTCGTTTATCAACTACGGTGAATTCGTAATAGTTTCAAGCATATCAAGTGACGAATACAACATATATTACATAACAAACACCTTTAGAAGCTAATTTCACACTTACTAAAATGTTACCGAGGATTGATTTTTAATCAAATAATTTGAAAGTCTTATCAAAACACAATAACTAAACTTGGACTTCACACGAAAATATCTAAAGAGAAACTGAATTACCTAAAATATTTTTGATGATTCTTACAATATTGTCGATTTTACTAATAAGGCATTGTATTATCGCGTTGTTGGTAATCATTTTCAAAATTCTAACCAATCACTGATGAGAAAGGTGTATACATTAAGTGAATCTCTCTCTGTATAAGCCAGTGGTTGTGAATGCTATTGAAATCAAAAATTTCTGTTCTTTTCCACTGTTTTACTTTCCTAGAAATAATGATTAAACTGTCTTGTATATGTCATTGAACATTTAACCATGTTTATTAAAATGATTGATAAACTTTCATGTCGTTTTTTTCTTCAAATAGCAATCAGATTAAAACTAAACTAGTTGTTTCATAGTACATCATTTCGATGATAAAAATGTCTCCAAACATTTATTCGCGAGACTGAAAACAGTTCAAAATCCTTATTATACCTCTTTAATTTTTTGAAATAAGTGATTAGATTTATATGTTGTTGAAATATAGTAAAATGAATTAGAAATCTTCGTAAGTAAGATTTTCGATTGCTATTGTTGTGCGCGCCACTTATAAGTAGTATATGACTCGAGTGAAAACGTAATGTCTGGCAGCAGCAGATGAGGGAAGATCAAAAGAAAGGAAGAGTTAGAAGAACACAATGGAATTTGTATGAAATGCATGAACAGTGGTGAAATGTCAGACAATCGATTGATGATGGATTGAAGATTTGCAAATTAACCGTTTACAATATGGTTTTCCGATTTTACTGAGTAACTCTATAATTTGCGATAAATACAATTCGGTTGCCCTCACCTGTGTTCTCCTTCACTACACTATGTTCATTTATATCTTGCAATAGAAATGAAACAAGAAAATGATGTTATATTTTCCTGAATTTATCTTAAAATACAATTACTGTATCAATCATATAATGCTAAATAAGATTATTGTTATTATTATTGAACATTGAATGGAAGCAAGAATATTCTAGAACTAAGTGTATATTTAAAACGATGCATAAATTCAATTCACTCATTTAAACAAAAAAGAACATGATCAAAAAAAATCAATATGAAATTCACTAACACACTATCATAAATAATCATTTAAATCATGTTAGATTATATAACATATAACATAAGTGTACAATTAGTTACAACAATAAATTGAACATTGAATAAATATTCTAATTACCTGTCTTTCCCGCCATAATCTTTTAAAAATATATCAATTCAAACAAATCATGAACTAATTTCAATTATATCCAGTCGTAATAATTGAATTAGTTTGACTAATTGATTTTAAATCACAATGACATTGTAAATAATGTTGTAATATTTGACGAAATTTTCGAATACGATAATAATAAATGAAAATATTTAATGAAGACTGGAGAAATATCATATTCCATGCCATATTAATAATTAATATTAATAAACGTACATATTCTGAACTAGCATTTTCAAAATTGATTACTAATGCAATAAGATATGTTATACTACTAGGTAATGAGAATAGAAATGCTACAATTTGTAATATAAGCATAGTAATAATAAATGAAATATTCACTTCTGATGACGATGATGATGATGATGTACTACTAACTTGTTGTAGTTTACGTTTCCATTGAATAACTTTCAAAACAAAGAATGAATCAAACAATGTTACAAGTGATAATTGTATTGGACATGTATTTGAAAATAAAGTTTGATGAATAGGGATATAAGGTTTCCCACGGACAAACCAACATGCCGACAATTTACGGACTGGTGTTAATTCAATCAATATACCGAATGGTAATGTCATAGCTAATGTAATTAAAATTACAATGAATAAAATGTAACAATTAAAATATTTTGAAAGTTTATTATAAATTAATGGTTTATGTATTAAAACAAAACGATCTACTGCTAAGACAATAAATATATTACCACGTAATGTACAAAAAAATGTTTGAAAAAATATTGACAATTTACAACTGATAGTTGATCTTGTCAATGTAAAATAATATATAGTTCCAGATGAAGCAAATGGTAAACCGTATGCTGGAAACAATGAAATCCAACCAATACAAATAACAACTCCAATATCTGCTATAGCTAACATACCTAAAAGGATAAATTGTTTATTATAATAAATAAGTGACCATAAAAATATGAAAGCAACAATACAATTACTCAATACATCAAATATTCCAATAAATGGAAATATATAACCCATTAATATACCAAACGCTGTTGAAGCAATACATAATGTTTGACTAGCATTTGGATTGCCTTGATTGACTAGGATACAATCAATTATTGTATCCCAAGGTGATGTGAATTCTGTCCAGTTCGTATACAAATTCATGTGAATTGGCTTAGTGAAGAAACTTGTTCTGTGTATAGGCTTTATTTTTCGGTTTATATATATATATATATATATATATATATATATATATATATATATATCCTTCGTCAATACTTTGATTTTATCAGTAACGGGTAAGAGAAAAAAAATTGTAGGTTACCTCTTGTTTCGGTAAAGTTTTTTAAAAAAACAAAAACCATACTTAAGGCTTATTGTGATTATCATTTGTAAGATACTGGGTACTTCAATTATTTAAATGAATTAGTTTACAAAGTACCACAACTATAATAATAAAACTTTCATGTCATGCTAAATCGTTACACATACTTCAAAATACAATCATCAGATAAAAATATAACTATGTGAAACAATTTCACTAAAATAACCACATAATATTTAAATAATCAGTTAAGTTACAATATTATTAAGGTTTAACTTTTGTTCATTTTAAAATAAATTAAATTAAATTAAATATTAGGTGGATTGTTCAATAAGCCAAGTAGTTTATAAGTAGTACAACGAAAAAAAAAGTAAAATCATTTCCAAAACTCAATCAGTTAATTCTATCAGACCTGTTTTCTTTTTTACCTTTTTTTTGAAAAAAAAAATAAACTAGTTTTTTGTACTAGATATTTTTTTTTTTGCTTTTGTTCCGTTGTACAATTTTAAATTGGGTTAAATTCATTTTGTTTAAATAGTCTGTGAAGAAGTAACTAACACGAAATATCAGAAAGTTTATATTTCTCTACCCATTCAGATATATATATATATATATATATATATATATATATATATATATATATATATATATATATCGTTTTTTGCTTTTTAACGTTAATCTTTTCATATACTACAATAACAGAATTTCACCATGACACTAAATTAAAACATTCTTCTTCTATTGTATAGTGTACAACTAAACTCAATATATACTGCCGACAAGTAAATATAATTTCTTTTCATTCAATTTATAAGGACAATTCAATGTTTCAATAGTTCAATATTGAAATAATGCGAAAAAATACCGTCGGACTTTTGACCGGTACACGAAATTAGTTTAGAATGATCATTAGATTTTTAAAACACGTATTTTTATTGTACCATAATTAACAAAATTCACTACTTTAAAAAGAATAAAGCTGAGAGGTAAATTATTTTATTTTAATTGAAAAAAACACATTCATAACTCAATGAATTATACATTTCGATAGTATTTTTTCAATAAAACGGTTGTGTATATCTATGTACAGTCAGCTTTAGCCTAAAATAAAATCATTTTTCATGATGGAGTTATGGAGATTGTTGTATATTATTGAAAACAAGAGTCAATCAATGTAAGACCACCATTTGGAAACCTGGAAACACTGAACGGCCATTTCGTCCTCATATGGGACTCATCAGCGGTTGTTCAGTGCTTCCACGTTTCCACATGATGGTCTAACCTTGACTGATTCAAATAAAACAATAGATTACTTCGAAATTTCAACGATACAGTAACTAAACATTTGGTTTATAATACATACGGATACAAGGTGAATTGATAACAATCCTCAATCTACTTTATAGTGATTTTCCACCTGAAATTGCCTCATTTTTTCTCGTATGAAGAGGCATATAAAAGTTTATTAGATTAAAACCAAATACTTGTCTGCTGACATGCGATATTTCTATGATCTTAGACAAATGAAACTCTCTACCTTTTCATCCAATACCAACAACTGATGTAAGCGTATTGACAAACAGAGAGATCTTCATCCATAAAACAAACACTTTTCTGTTATTCTTAACTGCAAATAAAGATGACAAGTAACAAATGAAAGCTTATAGAAAAACTCGAAATATCTGTAAAACACTAGTGCTGATTTATTACGGCGATCAATCAATAACTTACCAGAGGAATAATGTTTATTCAACACAATGTATCCATCTAAACGCATTTGTGGAATGCAGTATTTTGATTTTAAATAAGGTTCCGATATAAAACATAATTAGTTACTTACTTACTTACTTTCGCCTGTTACCCCCAAAGGAGCACAGGCCGCCCACCAGTTTTCTCCAACCAACTCTGTTCTCGGCTTCCCTTTCCAGTTCTGTCCAATTTTTGTTCATTCTTCTCATATCTCTCTCTATTTCTCGGCGTAATGTGTTCCTGGGCCTTTCTCTTTTCCTTCGACCTTGGGGGTTCCAAGTGTGGGCTTGTCACGTCACGCCGTTCGATGCTTTTCGTAGTGTGTGTCCTATCCACTTCCACCGCTTCTTCTTGATTTCCAACTCCGCTGCAATCTGGTTTGTTCTCTCCCACAGTAAGTTGTTACTGATCGTGTCTGGCCAAAGAATCCGAAGTATTTTGCGTAGACAACTGTTAATAAACACTTGTATCTTCTGGATGATGGCTTTCGTAGTTCTCCATGTTTCCGCTCCATACAGTAGAACTGTCTTCACATTTGTATTGAAAATGCTGATTTTGGTTTTGGTTGAAAGTTGTTTGGAGTTCCAGATATTTTTCAACTGTAGAAATGCAGCCCTTGCTTTGCCAATCCGCGCCCTCACATCTGCATCGGATCCACCTTTCTCGTCAATGATGCTGCCAAGATATGTGAAGGTGTTAACGTCCTCCAAGGTATCTCCATCAAGAGTGATTCGGTTGGTGCATGTTGTGTTGCATCGGAGAATTTTGCTTTTTCCTTTATGTATGTTGAGACCTACTGTTGCTGCAGAGGCTGCTGCTACACTGGTCGTCTTCTCTTGCATTTGTTGTTGAGTGTGCGATAGAAGAGCCAGGTCATCTGCGAAGTCCAGATCGTCCAGCTGCGTCCTAACTGTCCAGTTGATACCGTGCTTCCTTCCAGATGTTGACGTCTTCATAATCCAGTCGATCACCAGGAGAAAGAGAAAGGGTGAGAGTAAGCAACCTTGCCTCACACCGGTCTTTACCTCAAAAGAGTCTGTCAGCTGACCTCCGTGCACGATTTTGCAGTTGAATCCATCATAAGAATTCCGTATGATGTTGACTATTTTCTCAGGCACACCGTAGTGTCGAAGAAGCCTCCATAGTGTTTTCCTATCCACGCTGTCAAATGCTTTCTCGTAGTCGATGAAGTTGATGTACAGTGGTGAGTTCAATTCAATTGATTGTTACACAATGATCCGTAATGTAGCAATTTGGTCAGTACACGATCGATCCTTACGAAATCCGGCCTGTTGATCTCAAAGTTGGGCGTCTACGAAGTCCTTCATTCTGTTTAACAATACCCTGTTGAAGACTTTGCCTGGTATTGAAAGAAGAGTGATGCCTGTGTAGTTTTCACACTTGCTGAGATCGCCTTTCTTTGGTATTTTGATCAGGTATCCTTCTTTCTAACTGATGGTACTTGTTCCTCATCCCAAATCTTCTTGAAGAGGTTGTGAGATAGTTTCGCAGTTGCTTCTACATCTCCCTTCATTGCCTCTGCTGAGTTGCCGCTTTCGATTTGTCCGATGGCCATACTGATCTCCTCAATTGTAGGTGCGCCAGTATTAATTGGGAGGTCTGTGGCTGCTGCTTTGATGTTGGGTGGGTTCAGTGGAGCTGGTCGATTCAATAGTTCCTTAAAGTGCTCTACCCACCTATTTCGCTGTTTTTCAGTGTTGCTGATTACTTTGCCTTCCTTGCTTTTCACTGGTCGTTCTGGTTTACGATAGTTCGCGACCAGCTTCTTTGTTGTTTCGTACAATTGTCTCAAGTTTCCGTCTCCTGCAGCCTTTTCCGCCGTCATTGCTATATCTTCCACATATTTTCGTTTGTCAGCTCTGATGCTCTTCTTCACTTCCCTGTTTGCTTCTGTGTATGCAGCTTGATTGCTGCCTTCTTGTTCCTCCTTTCTTCAATTTTTACAAGAGTATCAACAGAGACCTATTCCTTTTGATGGTACTTCTTGCGACCGAGGACCTCCCGACATGTTGAAGTGATTACCTCCTTGATCTCTTTCCAATTGTTCTCCAATGTTGCTTCCTCTCCATTAAGTATATCGTGCAAGGCCTGGAATCTATTGGTGAGGGCTATCTTGAATTCGTTGAGTTTTCCGGTATCTCGAAGAAGGACTTATTAAACTTGTGTGATGTTGTGTGCCCCTTTGCTTAGCTTAGTGGCCATAATCCAACGTGATCGATAAAAGTTCATCGGCGCTGAGAAGGGCTGCAAAAATATGACACTGGTTTCTACTCAGTGACCAAGCAGATATAAGCATTTCAGTCGTACAGGAGTCGATCTAAGTCCAATTATTACTGTTAACATCTCTAACTATGATGTAGTGAGTTAGAGAGCATAGGTATAAGTATTTCATATCATTAGCTGTTCACATTGAGAAATAAATATATAGTACATCAGTTTTCTATCATCTACCTTTAACTCATCTTTCAAAAAACTAGTTACATTTGGAGTATAATTAGGCCATTTGTTTTATCCAGTTTCCGAAAACTATCAATAATAATTAGACAAATGATAATAAACAGCAATTAAAAGCATCGCACTTAATAGCCTGACAGGTATATAACATCACTTCGATTAGAATGAAGTCTCTCAACTTATTTGTCACATTTCATCAGTTTTCTGTTTGTTTCATACAAACTCAAAGTTGCTTAACCTCACCTTTTCTCTTTCTCCCGGTGGTTGACCGGATTATGAAGACACCAACATCTCAGGGGAAGTAG